TATTGTCATGAGAAAAAAAATTTTGATGAATAATGAATTTTTACAAAAAGTGCTTCATTTTTTTTTTAAATTTTAATTTGAATAATTTATAAACAAAAATTTTAAAATTCTGTATTAATTTGTAGTGGTCAAGTGACAGTGTTATTAAAGTTAAAACTGTATTTACTAATCAAAAATGGAAATGCTTACTACAATTCAACAACCCCCAGTATTTAATAAAATTTTTGAATACTTTTTTATGCATGTATAAACATGTTAATTTTTGTAAATACTTACATCCATACATGACAACAGAAAATAAGAGCAGTAACTATAGTAAATTCAAAATTTATTGGTAATGTTCTAATATTTCCTCAACCAATATCTTCATAGTACCTAAAATTCAGTAAAATATTATAATGCTTAAAATAATTAAAATTTTTAAGATTACTAGGTAATTAAAAAATATATCAAAAGTGTTTTACATTGTATTAGTCATTTAATTTTTTCAGTTATATCCCCCTTACTTAAATATCCCAAATATCAGGTTGTCAATAAATTCCTCATCACATCAAAAAAACACCCACCTCTGTCTTAAAAAAGATACTTTTCTGAAATATTTTAAATGAAAGAAAATAATATTTGTTTAATTTCTGATTAATTTAACTTAAAATCAGCTAATTTTTCTTAAAGTTTCAGTTTTGTTTTTTGAAAGATTTTTAATAAAGAGAATTTTAATGTGTTTAAAGATCTTTCAATATGGGCAATTTTATAGATTTTACTGATAAGGAGAAAAAAAATAATTCCATTCACTTTAAATTCCATTTGAAATACAGCAAAGTATTTTGCTTATTGGGAATATTAAATTTAATCTATTAACTTGAAATTAAAATCAAAGCTTCAAGAAAAATATTTTCTTTCTTTAAATACATTTTAAACTTAGCTAATGCTTCTTTTTTTTATGTATTATGACAGGAGTAAAAAGTTGTGTTATCAGGATAAATACTGAGACCAATAAGTGGGTCCTGTTCATAATATTGATACAGTGTCAAATATATATATATATATAGGTAAAATGAGAACAAACGGAGTATAATACTACTGTACATAACGTAATTGAAAAGAGGCCTCAATACAGAGTAGAGCTAAATATCATTTATTTTAGGATATTAAAACAAAAACACACATACACACACATACATACATATATATATATATATATATATATATATATATATATATATATATAAGTGTAAGCCCTAAAAAGATCAGCAATGATTTAAATTTTCTTCTGAAAAGTTCAAAAGACAAAAATCTGTCTGACAACAAACTTGGCTGTAAATATGAAAAAAAAAAAAAAAATGTTTGATCTTTCCATTCTTAAGGCTGGCTCTGAACATCTGTCTGTTAATAAGATTCAGTGTGGGGAGAAGTAGATAACTTGCAAGACGAATTGATCAATAAATGTGAAAGGTTAACAATCTTGATGGAAACCATTGGGGGGATTTGAAGGTCATAATCATAGCAGCCGGCAAGGAGGAGAATGGATTAGAGTTGTTGGCTATAAAGTTTCTTTTACCACTATTATGACATTACTAACACACTGCCATTGGTTACAAAGACCAGCCAAAAGGGTGACTGTTCACTTGGTCCCCACTCTCTCTCTCTCTCTCTCTATGTCACTTCCCCCTCCTCCTCTTTTTTATCTTCTCTCATTTCTCCTTCAGCCTTCAAACCCAATTTAAATTCCCTGTGTATAAAGAGGTAGAGTAATAGATAGTGATTCGGATTGAGGAATGGGAGAGCCGAGTTCAAATTTCAGTCACATCCATTACATTCACTTACATGCTAATACCCTTGGGAAAGGTATGAATCCTCTTCTTTTCCCTCCAGCTATGGGTAAGTTGCAGGACAGACCAGTTTCTATAGCCTTGGATGGCAACTGGTCAACTGCAGAAAGAAATGGCAACCTACCATGGGAAAAAATCTGCCTCGTCAGTCATGTATCAAAAGATACATGATAGCCTAAGCGTGTATTATGTATGGCACATAACTGACTGACTATATCTCTTGAGATGAGGTATTATGATTACTTGCATTATTTACATTATTTGGACTGTTATCCTCATCTTCATTGCTATATTCACAATATTTCAGCTGTTGTATGCTCTGGCCTTCTTCAGGTGATTGAAATTTCAAACCAAACCCTTTATTTCGTCCATGGGGTAGATTGTTCTACTTCCATGTGCCATGTTTCTTCCAGATATCTCAGTTATTTCCCTTTAAAGTTTTGGTTCACCACTGCTGTGGCCTGGTATTGAACTCACAACTCTTTGGATCTAGTCACTAGATATAAGCAATGTCTTTATTCACTAGGTTCTTCAAAAATATTAACCACTAGCAGTAGAGCCTGGCGTTGCCCGGGGATGTAACAGTAAGAGATAGATCAAGTATCGACCATCATAAAGACTGAAAAATAAAATTGACAAAGATTATTGTTTAAGGTTGACAGACACACATCTTAATTAGGTTTTTTTTTTTTTTTTTTTTTTTTTTACGAATTGGTCAAACTCAAACAAAAACATTGTTTTCAATCGTTATGAGTCTACCAATTGAATACAATTTTATTATAAACAATTGTCTTGTAAAAGGAATTTTTAAAGCATTCTGAATGTAAAAATAAAGAAAAAAGTGTGCAAGACAATAAAAAACACTACCTGCAAAAAAAAAAAGTGAAGTTTTGTTGAAATCAGTTGAAAAATGTAGGAAATCTGATCCCATATATAAATGAACACAGACACAAATACGCAAACAATGTGGGTTTTATAATAAGTATAACTTGATATGAGTTGTCTCCCTTTCATTCACGCGATGCCTCTTAATCATGTTTTCAAATTGATTTTGTGCAAAAACAATTGTGTTTTTCCAATTTTTGGCGCTGTCAGAACCACTGCAAGGTAATTTTACACAGTCCTGTGAAGTTTTGTTGAAATCGGTTGAAAAATGTAGGAAATCCGATCCAATATATAAACGTACAGACACACACACGCACACACAACCTGAGTTTTATAATAAATATGATGTACAGTGTGCCTCCGACCCATTTTTTGCATGAGATTGATCATAAAAAATTTCACTATATTTTAATTAAATATGGTATGCACTTAGACATTGATTCCATCAAGGAAACTCTCCACCCCGTTCGTTGATTTCAAACTAGGACATTCTCCTCCCAGTGATGCAGGAGTGACGACTCATTGCTGATGAGGATGAAGTCTTTCAGAATAAATGAACTCAACATTTTCAACAGAAATGCATTCCACATGTGAAGGATCCTTACATATAAACTTTTATATAAAGAACAACAGAGCCCAGAAAAGAAGAGAAAATTATATTTACATATGAACAGATAGAGAAAAAAAATGGCGGGGAGGAATAAGAAAAAGAAAAGAAAAAAAGCAAACCTATACTGTATATACTAGTATGTAAGTTGACTTCATGTAGTGCCACCCAGAAAAAAAATGACCTGTCTTTAGTGCAAATGGTCACTGAAAATGCATGTTTTTTAATTTCTCCAGAAGAATGACCTATATATAGTGTGAACCCTAATTTTTGCATAAAACTGATCACAAAAACTCAAACTATACTCATATATATATATATATATATATACACACACACACACACACACACACATATATATATATATATATATATATATATATATATATATATATATATATATTATGTAAAACAAAGCATAATATTTTTCTAAATAAATCCACATTACAACCAAAAACGTTAGCGGCACCTCTCTTCTCTTCTTTTTAATATACATACTTTTCTCTCGTTGGAACCACTACAACATATTTCTTTTATATATATATATATATATATATATATATATATATATTGTAGATCATCATTTTTTTTTTTTTTTATAGAGGTTGGATCGAATTGTAGCTTGTAAAAAGAACGGCTATTCCAACATTTTTTTAACCTTCTGTGGTTCCATTTTTTCATCCTGATTCACCCAAATTGAGAAACATTGCTTGACAAAATATGTGGTGATGAGGTTCTTTGTCGCAGAACTCCAGGCTACCCTTTTTTAATGACCGTCTGGAAACCACTTAAAAACAACTTTAATCATCCACCCAAAAATCTTAGACTGTCCCCCAAATCTTTTTTAAACTATATATATATATATATATATATATATATATATATATACTAAAGTTCATGTCATACAAAGTTCAACAGCCACTCAAGGTGGTTACTGTATGTGATATGAATATGTGAGAATATGATTTTTGCTTTTTACTGTTTATCAACGCTTTTTGGGTTATTTAAAGCGGAAAAATATTTAGGATTGTAAGAATAATTCTTTTATTTTATTTGCAACTGGATATTGTATTAACAATTTTTGGAGATTAACAGTGATTTTAAATACAAATTCTATTATTTAGCCCATAGATGGGTGTAGATGGATTTATGCAGTTCCAAACGATATTTACACATAAGTGAATCTAGAACATAAGAGTAGGTCGAAGGAAATGAATACTATGAGGATAAGGAGGATAGATAGTGATTGACCCTTGGTTTGAAGAGGTTCAGATTGTTGTGTTTAGGGAAGCATCCACACAGGAGTTTGTTTCACAATTTCACAATTCTTGGATGAGGTGCAAGTTGTCTTTACCAATGGCACTAGTGAAGGTAACAGACTGCTGGAATTTGAACTCAGCTTGATAGTTATGAATTTAACATTGATAACCATTATGCTACCCCCTCTCACATCATTAAGGTTAAAGCTCATGTCCCCCCACCACATCCTGGAAGATAAGGTACAGGTATTAATGAAGGGTCAAGAACAAAAAGAAAAACTGGTGATCAGTCAACAGCTGTCTCTTGGTTGTAATTGTTTCATACCAATAAGTGGATTTCTCCTCTTCCACGTTTCCTTTCCTTGACCCCCTATTTGACCTTTGCTTTTGGCAATGGTGTATTGAAAGGGAAGAGGGAAAATGGAGGAGACTGGGAAGGAAGGAGTCAAAGGTTACAGTTGTGGTTTTCACTTCTCTCTTCCTTTTGTCCCCCATCATATCATCCGCGGCAAGGATCGGTCCAGTAAAATCTAACAATCTGCTTTTGTGTCTGTGAGGAAAGCTTGGTTGAGACATTTAAAGCTCTTCTATCGTTCACTCCCCACCCAGCCTAAACCTTTCTATCTTCTCTCTCCTTAAGTTTGTTCCTTTCCACATTGATCTACTCTCTCTCTCTCTGTGTTCCTCTCTCTATTCCATTCTGTTAGTTTGTTCCTCTCTCCCTCTCCAGCTGTAAGTTTGTTCCTCTCTCTCTCTCTCTCTCTCCCACTTTGTTCCTTTCTCTCTCTCTCCCTCACTTTGTTCCTTTTCTCTCTCTCTCTCCCCACTTTGTTCCTTTCTCTCTCTCTCTCTCTCCCCACTTTGTTCCTTTTCTCTCTCTCTCTCCCCCACTTTGTTCCTTTCTCTCTCTCTCTCTCCCCCACTTTGTTCCTTTCTCTCTCTCTCTCCCCAACTTTGTTCCTTTCTCTCTCTCTCTCTCTCTCCCCACTTTGTTCCTCTCTCTCTCTCCCCCACTTTGTTCCTCTCTCTCTCCCCCACTTTGTTCCTCTCTCTCTCTCTCTCTCTCCCACTTTGTTCCTCTCTCTCTCTCCCACTTTGTTTCTCTCTCTCTCTCTCTCTCCCACTCTCAGTTTCCTTTCTCATTCTGTTTTTCTTTCTCTATCCCACTATGTCACTGGGGTTGATATGCCGTAAAACCAACCAACCAACCTCTTCCACTATGTCAGTTTTCCTTTCTCTCATTTTATCATTTTTCCTTTTTCGTCTCTCTCTTTCTGTAATTTCTCCTCCCTCAGTTTGTTTTTCTCTGTCTCCCACAGTGTTCTCCCCTCTCTCTCTCTCCCACAGTGTTCTCACCTCTCTCTCTCTCCCACAGTGTTCTCCCCTCTCTCTCTCTCTATCTCATCTTTCTCTGTAGATTTCCTTCTCTCTCCCTTTCCCCATGCTAGTGTCTCCCTCTATCTTGGTATCCCCCCCCCGCTTTCTTCTTTCTGTGTCATTCTTCGTCTTTCTCTCTCCCTTCCTTTCTCAAATTCACTCTCTCGCTTTTACATTGTAAGAATGTTTTAACATGGATCTTTTTAATCTCAGCTCATTAGTACATTTCTCTACTTGTAAATTCTGCAACATCTATGTATTATAAATATATTTCCATATAGAAATGTATGTCATGTTGTGTTACTATTTAGATGACATTGATGTCACCTGTGATACCTGGCAAGGATTTATGAAATACTTTAAAACTGTCATTTCACTTTAATGAGTCCTGCATATTCTGAGGACAATAAAAAACAATGAAACATTAACCAGGTTCTGTATGTAAGAACCAATGACATTTGAACCTGGTATGGGTTAAGTTATTCCTCTCCATCAGTTTCTCTTTTTTTATCTGTTAGCTTGTTCCTCTCTATCTCTCTCACTTAGTTCCTCTTTTTTTCTTTCTCTCTCACTTAGTTCCTCTTTTTTTCTTTCTCTCTCATTTTGTTCCTCTTTTTTTCTTTCTCTCTCATTTTGTCCCTCTTTTTTTTCTTTCTCTCTCATTTTGTCCCTCTTTTTTTTCTTTCTCTCTCATTTTGTCCCTCTTTTTTTTCTTTCTCTCTCATTTTGTCCCTCTTTTTTTTCTTTCTCTCTCATTTTGTCCCTCTTTTTTTTCTTTCTCTCTCATTTTGTCCCTTTTTTTTTCTTTCTCTCTATTATGGAGTAAAGAACCCCCTACCACCACCCAGTGACTCTATAAACTCATCTAATACTATAAAGAGTTCCATGTTATCAGCCGAATCACAGTCAGCTCCAGGCAGAGGGTGACAAGCTGGCCATCTTTGGGCAGAGGATGACCAAAAAAAAAATCAGACAAGTTGGAGTCAGGCAGTTTGCTGTCTGGCTTGCTACTGTCTTCATGCAGAGAGTGACTCAATTGGAGCTCTGTCTTTGGATAGACTCACAGACCAGTACTGTACCTGAGCCTGCTTTTCTGGGTGTGGGGGGTAAATTTTGACCATTGGCCCAAGTGGAAATGTTTGGGTTCCCCACATAAAACTTGACCTTGTGTCACCAGTGGGGCAACCAATAAATACCAGTTGCATCAGAGTCATGCAGTTTGCTGCCATGCTCGCAAGAGATAAAACCTACGTCTTCAGGCAGAAGGTGACTCAATTGGGGCTCTGTCTTTGGATAGAAACTCTGCTAAGAAAAACAATCAAGTAATGTACCCAAGCCCGCTTTCGTCAGGGCTGGGTAAATTTTGACCAATGTCCCAGGTGGAAACTCTTGAGTTCCCCACAATAATATCGACCTTGTGTCACAACTTATCTCAGTTGGAGGACTGAGTAGATACCAGTTGTATTGGCGTCAGTCTTCATACTAACTATACAAGCATCGTGGCAATAACCTAAGCATTACATATAGAGAATACTTTAACAGATTACATTATATGAAGTACTAGCAGCATGGCCCAGCATTGCCTGTGCTTGATTCAAAAATTGTACGACTCATACAGCAATCGCTATCACTTGACTTAAAATATTTTTGCCCTTCCTTACCTTTAAAGGAGCGCCCTTTGCCGTTGCTACATGCCTTACTTCTTGCCTATCTCACACTGCAAATTTTTTCTAAGCTCTATACTAAACATTAAATCTGTTACAAAAAAAGAACTAAACAAAATGAACACAAAATGATCAGCTTTAAAAAAGGACTCGTAACTGGAAAAACCAAATGAAAAAAGAATGTTAACAACAAATACTTTTTCACACCCAACCCATTTCTGCGGAATCAGAATCAACGTTGAGTTTAAGCAAGCGAATGAGCCAATTGGAGTAAAGTGCCATACAGATTTACATTTTTCCCACTTGTGACAAATGCAGCTATCGATTTTTTTTGCATGCTAGCATGCTAGTTAACATTCATATCAGTCAGCTGTTGGCTCTCACACTGGCCAATAGAATCTTCCTGCCTATTTGTGGCAGCCAGCTATAGGCCAGTACAAAATGGCTTCAAACTACATGAAAACTGCCTTAGAAGCATGAAAAAATCAATTATTTCCACTATTGATGGGAATTGGGAAATGCAAAGTCAGTCTTGGCCTTCCTGCTAACTTGGAGCATGTGCATGTAAATTTTGGTGCAAATCTGTCGAAAATTGTGGCCATGCATTCGTTACACATGCACACACATCCTGCCTTTTATAGATAGAGATGAGTATGTGGTATAACAATAACCTGATGATAATTATAATAGTTGATGAGGAAGTCGAACACAAGTTATGCATTAACACTAAGAAGAAAATAAAAGGATTGTCATTGATCAAAAATAAATAAAGGGAATACTGCCAGGACAGTGTTATTATGTGGACACTAGCACAGCATATGTAAAAAAGAATGACAAGGTTATTTATGCATGGGTAATTTTTTTTTTTTCGATCATTTCACTCCAAACAAGGCAATAATGCCAGTTGGTACCTTCTATTCTATGGACTATATTTTGGTACCCCACATAGGAATTGAACTTATATCCACTTGATTATATAAACTAATGCTTTGTTGGATTAACTTGTTTCCCCCTGCTGGTTCAAATGGGTTCAACCCAAGTACCTAATTTTAAGCTAGTTGTTTTTCTCTAGAAGAGGGACACTTTCAATTACTTGGTGAATTTTTATAAAATTAATTCAGGAATGAACAGACTTTCTGCTGCCTAGATAATATCCCTAATTTAACACTGCTAACAAAAGGTTATTCCATAGAATAGAACTTAACACTCATAAGATTCAAGGTGTTACAGTGGGGAAGAGAAAATGAGAAGACTTTAGAAGGAATAAGAAACCCAATCCTAAACATGAAACAAGGGATAAACCTCTACTCCTGTTCAAAAGACAGGGAAGGAGATTGTAAACAATAAATGCATACATAGTAAATTTATGCTGTAGACACTTTTATACAACTCTTAGTATATTCTGTCTTTTTAAGAAATTTAAGACAATAAGGTTATGAAGCTGAGACTTCATAATCAACGGTAGCATATATTATGAGCCACTGTTGCCTACCTGCAGTGAAGATACATGTAGTAGAGCCCATTTTGTACCTGTGTTTTTGCAGTACTCTATTTACCTCATTTTATTTTCTTAGGAATGACCAAAAGGTAACAACAGTGTGTATATAAATAATCCTAAGAAAAGAAACTCTGTTTAAATTGTTACTCAGAGTTTCTTACAATGTGATTATCAGGTGGTAAGGGGTTCTTGTTTGATTTTCTTAGGACAAAATGACCAAAAGGCCAAACAACATGTAGTGTTTGGTTAAATAATCTTAAGAAAAGACATTGAGCACTTTGATTTATTATACTTGGTCGAATATATTTGGTTTAGTATATTCAGTTTATTATACTTGGTTTAGTATATTCTGTTTATTATACTTGGTTTAGTATATTCTGTTTATTATACTTGGTTTAGTATATTTTAGTTTGTCATTTGACTATACTTGGTTTAAATTCAGTTTATTATATTTGGTTTAGTATATTCTGTTTTTTCATTTAGTATATTCTTTTTATTTCTTGGTTTAGTATATTTTTTATTTACTTGGTTTAGTTTCATTTATTATACTTAGTTTAGCATATTCTGTTTATTATACTTGGTTTAGTATATTCTGTTTAATATACTTGGCTTAGTATATTCTGTTTTATATACTTGGTTTAGTATATTCTGTTTAGTATATTCTGTTTATTATACTTGGTTTAGTATATTCTGTTTATTATACTTGGTTTAGTATATTCAGTTTATTATACTTGGTTTAGTATATTCTGTTTATTATACTTGGTTTAGTATATTCTTGGTTTAGTATATTCTGTTTATTATACTTGGTTTAGTATATTCTGTTTAATATACTTGGTTTAGTATATTCTGTTTACTTGGCTTAGTTATACTTGGTTTAGTATATTCTGTTTATATATTCTGTTTATTATACTTGGTTTAGTATATTCTGTTTTATTATACTTGGTTTAGTATATTCTGTTTATTATACTTGGTTTTAGTATTCAGTTTATTATACTTGGTTTAGTATATTCAGTTTATTATACTTGGTTTAGTATATTCTGTTTATTATACTTGGTTTAGTATATTCTGTTTAATATACTTGGCTTAGTATATTCTGTTTAATATACTTGGTTTAGTATATTCTGTTTAGTATATTCTGTTTATTATACTTGGTTTAGTATATTCTGTTTATTATACTTGGTTTAGTATATTCAGTTTATTATACTTGGTTTAGTATATTCTGTTTATTATACTTGGTTTAGTATATTCTGTTTATTATACTTGGTTTAGTATATTCAGTTTATTATACTTGGTTTAGTATATTCTGTTTAATATACTTGGCTTAGTATATTCTGTTTAATATACTTGGCTTAGTATATTCTGTTTAATATACTTGGTTTAGTATATTCTGTTTAGTATATTCTGTTTATTATACTTGGTTTAGTATATTCTGTTTAATATACTTGGTTTAGTATATTCTGTTTAGTATATTCTGTTTATTATACTTGGTTTAGTATATTCTGTTTATTATACTTGGTTTAGTATATATTCTTGGTTTAGTATATTCTGTTTATTATACTTGGTTTAGTATATTCTGTTTATTATACTTGGTTTAGTATATTCTGTTTAATATACTTGGTTTAGTATATTCTGTTTATTATACTTGGTTTAGTATATTCTGTTTATTATACTTGGTTTAGTATATTCAGTTTATTATACTTGGTTTAGTATATTCAGTTTATTATACTTGGTTTAGTATATTCTGTTTATTATACTTGGTTTAGTATATTCTGTTTATTATACTTGGTTTAGTATATTCAGTTTATTATACTTGGTTTTTATTCTGTTTATTCTTGGTTTAGTATATTCTGTTTATTATACTTGGTTTAGTATATTCTGTTTATTATACTTGGTTTAGTATATTCTGTTTAATATACTTGGTTTAGTATATTCTGTTTATTATACTTGGTTTAGTATATTCTGTTTATTATACTTGGTTTGGTATATTCAGTTTTACTTGGTTTAGTATATTCAGTTTATTATACTTGGTTTAGTATATTCAGTTTATTATACTTGGTTTAGTATATTCTGTTTATTATACTTGGTTTAGTATATTCTGTTTAATATACTTGGTTTAGTATATTCTGTTTAGTATATTCTGTTTATTATACTTGGTTTAGTATATTCTGTTTACTTGGTTTAGTATATTCAGTTTATTATACTTGGTTTAGTATATTCTGTTTATTATACTTGGTTTAGTATATTCTGTTTATTATACTTGGTTTAGTATATTCAGTTTATTATTCTTGGTTTAGTATATTAGTTTATTATACTTGGTTTAGTATATTCTGTTTATTATACTTGGTTTAGTATATTCTGTTTAATATACTTGGTTTAGTATATTCTGTTTTATATTCTGTTTATTATACTTGGTTTAGTATATTCTGTTTATTATACTTGGTTTAGTATATTCAGTTTATTATCTTGGTTTAGTATATTCAGTTTATTATACTTGGTTTAGTATATTCAGTTTATTATACTTGGTTTAGTATATTCTGTTTATTATACTTGGTTATATTCTGTTTATTATTATATTCAGTTTATTATACTTGGTTTAGTATATTCTGTTTATTATACTTGGTTTAGTATATTCTGTTTAATATACTTGGTTTTTATTCTGT